GTCCTGCAATCAAACCAAAAACATTAACCATCAAACATTTATTTCCCTTCAGTCACTATTTTACTAAACTGTCCTATCATATTTGGTGTTATCTGTTTTTCTATAATTATTTTAGACAGAAATGGTTAAAATAACTTCCAAATGATTAACATGTAATGTCTTACCCAAGCGTTAAATACAGTCACCACTGCGTCCGATCCAGGTGTGATTTTCACCTTTCTGACATCCGCTTTTAAAAATGGGACGGCGGTGGACAAAACTTTGAATCAGGGATTTTCTTTTTTAATGTTGGATAAAGTTTCAGGTAGAAAAGTGTCTGAATAAAGAAGAAAGAGAAGGCTTTTATGCAATTTCCTATTTTGAAGCTCTCGTACATGGCTTGTTTGTAGCAGGAAGGCAGATTTTTTTTTTTGTTTGTTGTTTTTTTTTTATGACGGTAGATGTTTCCGTTATAGTTCGCCTACCTCCTTGTTAACGAGCAGAGGGGGGGTGCAGTTTGAGGATGTTAATATGCTATGTATTTGAAAACGTATATTTTTATGTATTTTTTAATGATTGTCTTTGAAAAGAAAAGATGTAACATTACTGCTTCATGCTGTTTATCCATTACATCGTTCTGCTTTTGTCTAGAGCTGGGATAAGTGATCAAATCTATTTGCTATGATATATATTTACAGCTGTACTCTCTTGTAGTGTCTGCTGCAAACTGTTGAGATATAGTTTCAGTCTTTCTATGTATGTGATGTGAGGGTTTGTGTGTGTATGAGAGAGATGTGAGTGTATGAGGATGACCAGTGGACAAAGCTTAGGTTCATGTCAAGATGCAGTAATGTTCTTCTAGAGGTGCATGCATAGCACTCTTTGTATGAAAACATCGTGTATTTTGAAAGAATACCACTTTTTTTTCTGGTGATTCATTTCTTTATTTAGAAAGATCCTATAGCCCATATTAGTATTTATTTTAGATTGAAATATTATTAAAATTACATTTTATTTTATTAGCAAGTAAAACACATATATTGTTTCATTGCATTCTGTCTGGTATATTTTGAGTGTGAATATCTCTGTTACTTTTTCATCATTTTAGCTTATAATGGATGAAAATGTCACATTTGATTTCTCAGAGAGTAAATATTACACAAGACCCAATTAGAAATGGTATTTCGTATAGAAATAAAACAGTCAGGTTCTGGCCTACACAGTCATGGAGCGGACTGCTTGTTTTACAGTTGTCCAGCAGGTTGTCTTTAACACACAAAAAACTCAGTGTAATCATCCCACTTTTTATGTTTATTCAACTCTACATTAGCTCACATTGTAAAACAGGCAGCATTTTTAGCAATGATCTGTTACTTATGCACTTTACAGGTTTTTTTCCCCCTAACTTTCCATTAGCTTTCCTTAGCTTATGTTATAGTTTTGTTGCTTATGAACCTTTCTTTTACAGTTTTCCTTCCATTTAACTTTCCAACAAAAAACTTGCACACTGCACTCTTTGAAAAGCGTCTTTACCAATTATCCCTCTTCCGTTTTCTTGTTGTTGCTGTTTTTTTTCCTTCCACCAAACTTTCCATTAATATGCTTTATTACAGAACATTCTAAACAATAACTTATATGGTTTCTCTTTCATTTGAAATGTGTCACTGATTTTCTAATATCAGTGGCTTATCCATGACTCTATGGGCCAAAACCTAAGATTTTCTGTTCAATGCAAGCTAAGGATTTTACTCTTGGATTTTATTACAAGTAATAGTGATTTATTGATTTATTGAAATGCTGAGACAGCATTGACATTCACTTCTCCACTCTACAAACCCCATAAAACATCAGATTTTTGTAAGGCATTTGTGTGAGCCATTGTACTAAATATTTTTGGATGACTCTTAATTGTGGTTTAATTCAACTTTAAGCAGTGTGACAATAACAAAATGCAAGCTATAGAGAGACACTGATTAAACTATAAAGGGCTTCTTAATCAAACAGTCTTTATTGAATCGTGATGACCTTGTTGCATGTTTGTGTGTTCCTTGTGGAAAAAAATAAATAAATGTGCCCTTTGGGGCTCTGGGGATTTTCTCACCTCGACTCTGCCTCATTTTTTCCCCCCATTTCTGAATTACCACTGGGAGGTGTGAGGTGCTCTTGTTTGTGCTGCTCCACAGACAGCTCTCTGCTTTGCTCCTCGTTCCATGGATCAAAATGAGCTTCAGGGGAGCTGCACGGAGGCTTTTCACTGGCAGTAAATCTGCTTTATGGTCATTTTTGTTACCGACTGTTGGAGCTGTGGTTGGGGGAAATAAAACTGAGCTCTGGGATCTGCTGGTGTCTGGATTCATTCAACCCGCCCATCCAACACCGACTTTCATTAGCACAGACCCAGAAGCTTCTGGATCAGCTCCTCCCTGGTTCATGGTTTTAACTGGTGGAGAAGTGTGGAATCTATAAATAAAGCATTCATGGGTTAGCATTACGGCAGCAACTTCACATTATTTGTTAATTCACAGATGAATAGATGTGGTTACATTTAATTAGATCAGTAGCCTGTGGACTAATTTCAGGGGCCGCTTTATTTCTTTTGTATCACAATGGGCGAAGTGATTAAATAAAAGTGTCATAGTTACAAATTCACCTAACATGAATCAGTACTGCGTGCTTCAAAAAAAAACTTATCAAGCTAGGTGTTTTGTCCTTCCAGTAATGTTTTAATTATGTTTTTTTTTTAAAAAGCATCAAGTGGCAAATAAATACTTTCATTTTTACAAAGGCAGACGATTCAGTCAAAGCAGGATAAATAAAAAAAACGGAAAGAAAAAGGTCTGTTATGTTTATTCGTTAAGAAAAGACAATCAACTGATCATCAAAAGGCATCATGTTTATGTCATTTTAAGTTATTTTCTACTCTCCAGCCACAGGAATAAAAACCACGAATTGTGAAGATTTGGGCATATGTGCTTGAATTTCTTTGAAAATATGGCTTTTTATGATATGCAAATCTGAAAATCTTGTTAAATCCATTTCCCAGTGGACAGACTTTTAAAAAATCCAAGTAATACTTTATTTATGATACTCGGCTCTCTCTGTGTTCAAATGCAAAATAAAATGATTATCTTTTAAAAATCTTAAAATGTCACTAAACCTCTATTTTTCTTATTGTTTTAGATAACGTGACCTGGAACATTTTATGCACTCTTGGAAATATGACAGTGTACGCATGATGTCCTGCAAAAACATTCGTGCCCATAAACCTTTCCACATTTTTATCACAGTAAAACCACAAACTTCATTGTCAATTGTAACCTTAAAACCACAAACTAGATAGCAACTTGGATTCTGGAAATAGGCTTCATTGCAACAAAAGACAATCTATTCTCAGTTTAAAGCCAGTTATTTTTGAAGGCCTTAGAGATTTGTCAAAAAAAGGAACAGGAATATTGAGAGAGTTTGGCACGTCTGCCAACCTACCGAGACATGGCCATCTAAACTGACAGGTCAGACAAGGATCAAAGAAGCAGCCAAGAGCTCCATGGTGTTAAAGAGCAGCAGAGATTCACAGTTTAGATTTGCGAATCTGTTGACAGGACAGCTATTAGTTGGCAATCTAACAAAGTTTTAATTTAATAGCCAAATTAAGTCCCATTTTGCCACACAAAGAACACAAAATTCAGGGGGAAAACGAAGGAGAACAGATTTCAAAATGCAATGTTATCCAGAAAGCCAACCCTGCATATCACCTTTTTTTAAAAGACACCAATTGCTCACTGAAACATGGCAATGGCAGCATGATGCTGCAGGCGATGCTATTCTTAATCAATGATAGAAAAGCTTCTTAGAGTGTTTGGCAAAATGGAGTTAAATCCTTGACTTTTGTGAAAGAAAATCAATGAAAGCTTGCAAAGAGTTTGAGACAGATGGAGGTTGACCTTCCAGCAGGAAAGCAGCTCAAAAAACTTAACCAGAGGTACAATGGAGTGGTTTAAATCAAAGCATGACTGTGTGGTAAAATGCCCCAGTGACAGTCCAGACCTAAAAACAACTGAAAATATGAGAATAGATTCTAAATCTGATGTTCACACATTATTCCCACAGAGCTTAAAGGCTTTTTGCAAAGAATGAACAAAAATGTTTGTGTCAATATAAAGCTAATAAAAGCAGAGATTCTGGGGGCTGGCAATCACGAGTCAACGTGTTGTTCAGCCTAAAAGAATCACAATCAAAAACAATAAGGTTTGTGGTTGTAATGAGGGAAAATTTCTTTTCTACATTTTTTTCTTGGTGTAACCAGAAACTTCAATATATAAGGATATAAAAACTCAGACATGGTACCACCTGTTTGGCAGAAAATCAAATCAAATTGTAAATTTTCTAAAACCTGGTGAGTTTTTTTCCAAATCACATATCTGATCATGGCTGCTCTTCAAACAGTAAATCTGCAGAAATCTTTTTCTCAGTTAAGCGGTTCAGGTTTGTCAAACCCAATTTGGCATCTCTAACATGTCTGAGCCTTGTCACTTCAATTATAACTCATGTAAATTTCAAAATGGCTACATCAAATGTACGGACAAGAAACTAAAAATGCAAATAAAAAAAAATACATCACGGCTCAATTTATATAATTAAATGGCTACAGCACCAAACAAAAGCTTGTTGTTTTGTAAAATGGGTCCAAGGTAACATGAAAGCAGTACTTATCCTGCTCCCTTTAGACTCATTTTAAAATAATCTTGTAGTGGAATGACCTGTGATTGTAAATTAACTGCTACAGAGTTGCCTCGGCGATGAATCCCTCAGTCAGTGTACAAAACACAAGACATAAATCACCTTACATTTAGGTACTGTACATTACACTATAATGAGCCTTTTGCATAAAAATAAAAAGTCCTGTACAATATCTGGAAATATAAAGTTTTCCATATTTCACAAGTAGGGGGCAAGCCATGCAACAGAGTGCTTCTTATCTACAGAAACAATATCACATTATATCATGCTGCAAAGTCCCCCTCCGGTATTATCGTGTGGCTTCATCTTCCTCATCTGTGACCTTGAGACAGAACAGACGATTAAAAAGCGTAAGACTCTCCACTGCTCCTTATAGCCGGGAAAAAGCTGGACAGGGCCGCGGCTTCTCCTCTGCGACAGTCTGGAGAGTGTTTAGCTAAAACTTCCTCCTCCTCCTCCCGCCCTACACTCCTTTCAGGCGTTAATAGATCAGAGGCCGCGTGCAGCCTAGGGATTGAGGATGACTCTAGTGGCGTCCTCTTTTTCTCTCAGTTGGAAGGTGGCGTGAGCTTGCTCCAGATCCTCTATCACCACCAGCAGCCGAGCAGCGACACTCTGACCAGGCTTCATCTGCTGAGCGTTGCATTCAGCACCATCTAGGAGATGGAAAGTAATGCAATTAGCCTTCCTTAAGAATGCAAAAATAAAAAACTCAAAAAGCTAAATAGGATTTTTTTTCTATAAAAACAGTGAAAATAAACTATCGAAACACTCATCTCTAATCATTCTTTTGTCATTCAAGTCTAGTGTTACCTGGGTGAATATCAGGGTTTATCCTCTTTTCCTTATTGCTTGATGTCTGATCTGCTTCTTCCTGCTCCAGGTATTTTTTCCTGCAAAATAATGGAGTTGTGTTACCTTATTTTCACCTCTGTAAAGTTCTGATATTCTTGGACAGACAGACATCTCCCTGCTAATCTCAATACAGTCAGCAGAGGCTGAGCAGTGCAATCCTGTGTTGCAACATAGACCTCTAGTGACCGGAATATGAGCTGCATCCATGCTGAAGAAACTGACCTGAGTTTGTCTCTGCCCTGGAGAAGCTGCTTGAATATCATCTGAGTCTCCACATCTGGGTCCAGCGGGTCGCTCCAGTCGCCCAGAGTTACGGCAGAGTGGGTTCTGCTGCAGCCTGTAACTAAAATGCCGCCTTTTATTAAAGAGCAGCTTCTCAGCAAGAAATCTAACCAGCAGTTCATCGTGGTGAAAATAACCTGTAGGAGAGTTGATGACGTGGCTTTAATTTTGTGAAGCGCTTTTAAATGTCCGTTAATAGATCTGAGCATATCTATGTAGAGGTAACAGGCAGGTAACAGACACTAACAGGTCATGTGACAAAAACGCTGCCAGAAATAGCTCAAGAATGAAGCAGCAAAACCACAAAGGCTATAAGTTGAGATGACTGATTTAGTAAATACAAAACTCACTGACCTCAGGGAGTAAGTGAAAATGGATTTTACCTGTCGCCAAAATTACCAAAGACAGAACATGTCATTTCCTGACAGTGGGTGATACAGAGCTTTCCGTAGTATTCTTACTCCTTCGCCTTTTCAACCTTATATTACTACAAGCATAAATTGGGGGTTTAAGTTCAACACAAGGTGTATAAATGTAAAAGTGGAGGGAAATCTTTTATCAGTATTATCTTTTATAAAATAAACAGCTTAAAATTATAGATGGTATTCTTAATTAGATGTTTTTTTTTTTTGTTTTTTGTTTTTTACAAAACGAGTAACATAATTTGAAAGACTTGTGTGTGATTTGTTCTGTTATGTGACAGCTTTCGCGAAAACTAAAGCAAACAAAACTCCAGAATCTTAAAGCAGAGTTAGGATAGACAATAATCCTGTAAGCTTTGGATTTCCCAGAGAGCACTAGTCAACCCATCATCAGGAAGTTGGAAGACAATGGCAAGAGGAGAGCTGGAGATCCTCAGCTCAAAAACAGAAGGAGAACTAGTAGTGAACGCATATTCAGTGTGAATTGAAAGGTAACAAGAAGGAGAAAGCAATTGCTAAAGGGAAGTCACAGAAAGAGCCCACAGCAAAGTTATTTTTAGGTTATTTAAAGGAATAGTACACCCAAAACACGATTAGCCTTCATTTTCTACT